TACCCCTAACCCTGCAGGAGACGGGGCCTATGGTTTATTTGTCCTTATCCAAGAAGACTAGAATATCTATCCATTTCTTGATATTATAGAAAGGTAGCACTTTCTCCTCAGTTATTTTAAGACCCTAAGTGTGAGTCCAGCCGGGGCTTGAACCCTCAACCTCCTGCTCAACAGTCCGACCCTCGCTCTACTCTTGGATTCATTAAAGAGCATTGACAACTTAACCCTTTGACTGCAAGATGTGATGAACTTGTAACTTCTCCCTGTGCTATCCATATACTATCCAGCAAATGGGTGACAAGAAAACCCAAACTTATCAGGTAGAGGTTATCTTGATCTATCACCAAATTCTCACAATCTATTTACAAGGAAGTGTGTAGCAGCTAGAGGCTAGATTTAACAATCAGATGTTGGAAGTTAAAGGGGTGGGTTCCATTACAAAGACTCACTAAATTAATTATTTTTTCTGGTAATGAAAGGAACAGTGAAATCGTTTTACCGGTAAAAAGAGATGAAGATAAACTTGAAGCGTTCCATCAGCAGATCTCCCCAGCTCTGATAAACCGTCAGCTATCATGTCCTCAAACTCACTCGACCTCTACAAAAAATAATGTGTACAGAGAAAAAAATTCAATGAAGGGATCTGTCGCAATCATGATCACACAAGTAGGTTTATAACATGGGTGTAATTTCATCACTTACTCATTGAAAATGATCCGATTTCTAAAACTTAGATATAATCAAATATTTTTTCGAAATCGTCAAGCGCCTCGACTTCTAAAGTGAGGGGTTTGGATGGTTTTTAGTTTATTAATAACTTACATAGTCGTGGTGTTTCAAAACAACCTGGATATACATTATCGTGCATTAAAATAACATCAAAGTAATTTTCACCTGATCTTCTAGTTCTTCTTCCTGTAGGCTCGTATCCTCAGCAGGATTCACTTGCCGTACATTGGTTTTCGATTCCATTGCACGGCGACTTTCGGTGTGCTGTTCTTCGCCAGCGGCTTTGGGTTTCATCTCATTCGTGAGTCCATGCTCAGAGGTAGTTTCCATCTCTGTGTTTGCATCGATTGCCTTCTCTTTGCTACTTTTACCTATCGAACTCATTTCTGTTTCTTTCGGGTACATTGACTGGGTAAAAAGTGGATTCTGGTAAGAGTTCACCAAATTTTAGAAGAGCTTATAAGTTTTTATGTGTTGTCCGCCATTTTGTATGTAGTTTGTTTCTAAGTAACAACAATTAGACCCAGTCTACGACGAAAGTGGCTTTTCCTCGCGCCAGTCTTTACCTTTGAATACACAAATGGCAGACAGAGGGGCGCGTGTGGGCTTATTTCGCAGAGGGTCTTTTGGTTCATGGTTGAATTTCTTCTGCGCTGTCGCGTTGCCAAGCCTTCGCCGTGAAGTTTACAAAGGTTTAACTTGATGTTTACACTTTTTTCGAATAGGGAGTACAAATTTTTTCTGTACTTACAGCGCTTATCGTCAAGTTTCGTCAATTTTTTATGATGTTCCCAAAAACTTAAACGGATTAAACAATGTTAAGATTATTTTTTATTTATTTCTTGATTGTGTAGTGTGGAAATTGGAAATTGAAAATTTCTCAGTAATACGTAGAGGTCACTGTAGTTTTCAAAGAGTGGGTTCAGTTTTGGAGTGCACCTTTTACTGAGCCCACCCCGGGTTAGAGTGAATATCTTGAATTTCCTTCATGATGGGCCCTGGGAAATGTATTTTTTTCTTTTTTCTCTGTGTTTTTTGAATGCTCTGTAAGTTATTTGCGTGGTCGCAGTAAAGTAACAGGAAATCCTAAAGAGATTTTTAAAGCTTTCGAAGGAAAAAATGAAAGGCGCAATACCTTTTTTACAAAAAACAGAGGCATTTGATATAAATAATTTATGCAGTTGGCCATGGGTGCGATGAGAATTATGTATGAATTATGCATTCCCATCTATCTGGCACTTTAGGACAGTGTGACGTGGTTCTTGGAGTTGCAGTGTCATGCTTCTTCGAAGAGAAAATTGACGTATTCCGCCCATGGCTGTGCTCATAACTGCTTCAGGAAATATTTACACGATGGAAGTTTCTCTGTCTAAAGTTACTTGCAGCAGAAATTTGGAGAAATTGCTGAGGTTTTGCGGAATACATGTATGTTCGCGTAAGGTGAGAAAATGAACCGTCAGATAGTATTCTTTTCCTCGATAGGGCAGCTTGAAATTTTTCCCTTTATGCCGGGAATTCTATAAATTTGTATGCTTTACTCATGGCTTTTGATTCAAGCATTCGGTTATTCTACTTTTCAAAGTTTTCTTCTATCAAACCCGTTAATTGGAAAGTTCTGGAGTGAACTTCGTTATTAATTTCGTCTCAAATCGGGTTTATGTTTTCCTTCACAGGTTAGCAATGCCTTGTGCCTTCCTCTTTGTGAACAGCGAGCTAAATGGTGAGTAAACGCTTTTTTCATACAAGTGTTAATGCTATATGTTCTTAATTTAATTCATAATTGCAGCGACCCATACACTCCCCCACCATCCCCCCCTCCATATCTTTTTCACAGTCCCTCACCCTCTTGGTACAAGTTCTTCCTCTCCCCAGCCTCCCGCTCCATTTAAATCAAAGATGAAGGGCATAATTTTTGCTAAGAAAATACCGAGCTCTATAGGGAGAGAACCAAGTTTAGCAAGATGTAATGGTAGTTACCTTACATGTGGGTCATCCTCGGTGTAAAAACCTGACGAGGTTTTCTTTCTTCATGAGGTATTGTTTTGCTGTACGCTGCTGTTTATAATGTTTTGTTGTCTTTGTTTTACGTCACTCGTGAGTTTCACAGCTTTCTACACTTAGGATGAGCCTTACATATTGTTGGTTTTTACGCGAACAGTAACAAATAACAAGTGCATAATGCACAAAGCATGTTTTCGAGTATGGAAAGGGGTTGAGATTGCGTGAAGTGAAGTTACAGTGAGTGAACGGCTGAAAGCCTACTTTATTTATGCTATTTTATCTTCCATTTGCAGTCCGGATAAAAAAAAAAAAATTCTACCAACAATGCGCTTGCCAGCAAAGAGCAGCATAAACCTCGCGTAAATGTAATGATGTCCTTGAATTTTATTTAAATACCTGCGCTTCCACGCTCTGTTTTCATTAATGGTATTTTTCTCACTTCCATTCCTGTGCATATCAAAACACTTTGCTAATTTTTTGCACATTCGATATTTACAGCATGAAGTCATCGGAACGTCACATACTATTTTTTTCATTAAACAAAGACTGCCATGGATTGGGCTATTACCAATCATTGCGTTCTTAACTCAACAGTACTTTTCCTAGAGGCTATACTTTAGCTAGGTAGGTAGGTAGGTAACTTTATTTCAACTCGAGTTGTTAAGACTGATCAGGCCCCCAGCCAGACATGCTAATATGCCCCAAAATTGTTCACCTTTCACTTATTTGCAGATGACACCAACATTTACTGCTCTTGTAACTTGAACCTTAATGATCTTGAACTAAAGTTAAATCGTGAGCTAAAAGCAGTTGCAGAGTGGATGAAATCTAACAGACTAGCACTTAGTATTCTCAAAACAAATTTTGTTCTCTTTGTAAAAAAAATGAAAACTACACAAGTCATTTAATCTGATGATTGATGGTGTGAATATCCAACAAGTTTCCATGGTAAAATATCTGGGTGTTACCTTTGACTAAAATCTGACATGGAAGAATCATATTGATGAGCTCTGCCTAAAACTGTCAAAAACTGTAGGAATCTTCTCAAAATGGTGGTACTATGTTGACATTGATATACTTCATATGCTTTATTATTTTGCAAATCTACCCCTTTCTCACTTATGATATCCTAGTTTAGGGTTTGACATATCCAACTTATATAAAGCTAATTTACTTTGCAAAAGCTTATACTCAGAATTAGGACATTTACTGAACCAACATCACACTTAGAACCACTGCTGAAATCTCTCAACCTCTTAAAATTCTCTGATAGAATTCATTTTGAGATTCTTTCTTTTGTTTATCAGTGGTCCTATAAAATTACTACTTGTTTTACTTATTACCGTTTAAGCAAATTTCTCCTGTTCATTCACATTATACACGTCGATCACTGAATGAGAACCTGTTTGGAAACCCAGTTCAAACAACTCAATATGGTATAGGTGGTTTGCAACCAATCTCTAGAGACACAGGTAACAATAGTGAAAGGAACAAATGCTGGTGGACGAACAAAAGAAGCTAATGAGATATCTATTGTTTGTGTCCACCAACATGGCGGCAGAGACGTAACGTGCAAACCACCTATTCGTTCCCTTCATTACACTTGTACAATACTCTGGAATTCATTACCAATTAATGTTAAATGAATCACTCCTCTTTTTAGATTTTGTCAAAATATAAAGAATTCTGTGATTGATGGTTATAATAGTGTTAAATAGTTTGTGTAAAATTAATATCTTTTATTCTCAATAGCTAGTATGAAGGTACTTTTTTTTTTACCTAAATTGTTATTAACACTGTACTCCCTTTGTTTGCATCTTTTGTTCTGGGACACCTACTCGATTAGTTCTTAGAACCATTTGGGTACCCCAAACTCCACATAACTAACATGTGTATTTAAATATTCTCTTCTTCCTCTCCTCCTTGAATTCTTAGATATCCATAGTACCAATGAATTGTAAATTATTTTCAGTTTCTTTTTTCTGTTCTCTTATTATGCTGTATTCCCTATACTGATATTTGTAACACTACTTTAATAATTATAATCTTCTCTAGTACACTATATTCGTGTGAGTTTATTAAATTTGTTGATTGACTTTTTCCGGAGGCAAGATTCTTTTTGAGTATTAATCAGTGCATTATTGCATTTGCAGAGTGGCGAGAAGAGATTGGAAGTATGGATTGGGAATAGGAGAACACACTCAAATGTTAGTTGTGCAATTTGTTGTTTTGTTAACAGTTCAAAGTAATTACAATTAACATAGGTCATTCTAAAAAAGACTGTTTTCTCTCCCTCAGCCCAACATTACATAAAATTAAACTATTAAGACTCTAATATTTCCAGCGGCACTTGTCAATGAGTAATCAATGTATGTCATTTGATCTGTAGAGTGGAGAGAAGATATTGAAAAGAGCCACAATTCAAAGAGGAATGGATACTTTGACTGGGAAACGTACAGATTGATGAAGAACTCGACTAAACGTGAGTTGTTCAATTTGTTGTTTTACTCGTAGTTTAAAGAAGTCCTTGACAATGAGGACCTTGAGAGCATGGCCAAAATTCCCAAATTATTCTTTCGATATATAAGCATTGAATGTTTCCGTCCTTTAGGTTTTTTTTTGCCATCAAACTTTACAAATATTGTAAACTGTTGCCAAAAAAAACGAAATCACTGAGAAAGAACTTCAACACTATAATTGAAAATCACGATTTTTTCTGAAGGAGAACTTTCAAAAAATGTTATAATGCTGAAAAAATTAAAGAAAAATCTTGGTGGATTATTTCTAGCATAGAGAAAACCGTTGTTTAGTTGAAAACTGACCTAGGTCATTTGAAACATCATTTTTAAGTAAGACCGAATGCAGAAATAGCAGTTTTAACCCATACTGAGTGTTGTTTAGCCAGTTTAAGTGAAACAAGTTTGGGCAACAGATAAGTCAAACATTTTTCACCACTAAAAAATTTTTCAACTAAACAAAAAACCATGTTTCAAACTGTAAAAAAAGCTTTCTGGAGATCATGTAGTGTTTTTGACTGGTATAAGGTAGTTTTAACAGAAAATTAAGCCTTTTCACGTAAGAAATTATAAAGAAAACATAAAATATTCAAATTTCTCAAATTTCTTTGAAACAAGAAATGAAGAGAACCAAAAAAGTCTGTTAACTTAGAATTTTTAATATTTGACTCTGGATAGTTGTTCATTATGAATTGGGCATAGTTCATTTTTTTAGGATGAAAGTTCACTCTGGAATATCTTTGTTACATTTAATATATCAATCATTCAATATTTGAGGCAAACTAAAACCTAAGAGTAGACAATGTGATTGTCTTCAGAAAGATGAAGGAATTAGAAAAATACAAACAGAATAAGAGCAAGAAATGAGAGTGTGTTTAGCAAATTGCTGGATCAATGATGTTTTCTCTTTTTTTTTTTTTTCGGTGAGCAAACTCATTTCCCTTCCCAATTTTTCTTGGAAAGGAAAGAGAAGAAAACTGATTACGGAGTTG